ATCCTGGTGTAAGACCTTCCATTGATCCAATTTATTAGTTACAAACTAGAATACTGTTTTGTTGTTGTTTTATCCTCACCTGAGGATATGTTCACTGATTTTAGAGAGAGGAAGGGGGAGAGAGAAAGAGAGCGAGAAAGCGAAACATCAATGTGAGAGAGAAACATCGATTGGCTGCCTCCTGTACATGCCCCAACAAGGGGACTGAACTGCAGCCTAGGCATGTGCCCTGACTGGGAATCAAACCCAAGACCTTTTGATCTGTGGTGCAGTGCTCCAACCAACTGAACCATAAAAGCCAGGATTAAAATACTGTTTTTAAGAATGAGCTATAACAATTAAAAGGTAGGAACCCCATAATAACAAGAGGTTATATTTGGTGGAATTTTTCATTTTCTTTGAAAATTTTACTCTGAAACATTCACCTTCAAAAAAGAAGAGAGTCTCTCTCCCTTTTATAAAACCAAACTATCAAGGGTTTGGCTATTTTGTTGGATAATAAAAGATCTGGATTCATTCCCTCTGATTCTCTATATCTTGTTTCTATTAGGCTAAAATCATTTCTTAGCTGCAGCCCTGGTCCTTCTTTATTAGTTATGTGTTACGTGCTTTGACTTATTCCTTTTTATGTATATGAATGTAGCCCTTTTTGAGTATTACTATAAAGAACTAATCTATTAAGCTCCTGTTTGTATATGGTGATGTAACTTTCTTAGTGTTTACCACTTATATATTTCCTTCTTCCAATAGCTTCAAAGGAACATTTTGGCATCTAATCCCAGAGTCACAAGATTCCACATTAATTGGGAAGATAACACAGAAAAACTGGAAGATGCAGAGAGCAGTAATCCAAATCTACAATCACTTCTTTCAACAGATGCATTACCTTCAGCATCAAAGGGATGGTCCACGTCAGAAAACTCACTAAATGTTATGTTAGAATCCCACATGGACTGCATGTGACTACCTGCCATCCCTTTAGTACAAATTAAGCTATAAAAAACCACACAGAACTATTTCCCTTAAATTCCATAAGTCATAGTCACTAAGACACGATGTGAAGAATTTGTTTAAAAAACATCCTGTAGAAAGTTTATAAGAAAACCAGTATTTGAGCAAATTGTGGAATATAAATACAACTATTTTTAAGTAATTTTTTCTCTAATGTGTTATTTTATTTGTTCTGAAATTAATCTGATTAAAACATATATATTATTTTCTTCTCTATATGTAATTAAAGCACTTATAAAGCACTTATAAAGCAATTATTAGACCAGGTTGTAAAGATACCTTAGCCGCTTGGTCAATAATCTTTGGACCACTATTTTAGTGGCCTTCAAAAAAAACAAAGTTAACTTTCAACTAAAATGTTTCTTCCTGTAATAACATAGTTTGGTTTCATTTAAGGTTTTCATTTCATTTGGTTTCATTATTTTTTGGCATGTCTTTAAAGAAGGGATTTGAAGTCAATTATATGCTACCAAGAACTTTAGGATCTGATTTTCCAGACCATCTTAATGCCTCCTATGGCTACTATTACAGTTCATGTAATGTTAGATAACATTCAGTTCGGTGTGTGAGATAATAACAAGTGTGCTTAATTCCTTATAAAATCCTCTGGCTATGGTGTTGTTTTGTAAGAGCTTAGAACATCAGAACACTTACTGAATCATATACATCATTATTACCCCGTGCAATCGACATGTCAAGAGCAGATACAAACTCTCTCAGTTTAAGAACAGGAAAGTATAATGACTTAGATCTGTTCATTAGATGTATGTATTTTCACAAATGTACTACTCTTCTCCAGATCCCCAACACTCGTGCAGAATAAGATTAGGCATATTTGCATATTCTAGATAGCTTTTCCAACAGATACATTTTTTAAAAGCAGTCTTGGAAAGGAATTAACTAAATGGGCCAAAAGGTTCTTTCTTATTCTTTGATAAGAGCTAGATCCTTCCTCAACAAGTTTCTTACGCTCCATTAAATTAAGTGTAGAATATTCTCATTACTCTTGCTGCTAAGCAAGACATCAGCCATATATGATGCAGTTATGCAGTGCCTTCATATCTAACTTTTATAATATACTACACTTTTTAAAGTTTTTATTTTGAGGAAGGGAAAAGGGCATTTGTCTGAATATGGAATCTAAGTTGTACATATTTCCTGTCATTCTAAAAGAGTGAATTTGTGAAACAAAATTTTGCTAAATGTTAAACTTTAAAATTTAATATACCAGATTAAAATACTGTCCACTAACTAGTTCATAGACTTTAAAAATAAAATACATCCTACTGTTAAAACTATAAAGAAATTTTTCAATTTTGTCTAATTGCAATTAAAAGAAAATGGTATTAAAATAAAAGTAATGCTTTCCAACAAAGAGCTCAGTGATTAATATAACAGGGGCAAGATATGTGCTTGTTAGAAATAAAGCATATATAAGCCAGATCACCAGTAAAGCATTTCACTGCTGAGTTTTTGTGGGTTTTAAATGCATTTTTTATTGGTTTTTTTTAGAGAGAGAGGGAGAGAGAAGCATTGATGGGCTGCCCCTAGCACACCCCCTACCAGGAATTGACCCCTCAACCTGGTCATGTATCTTGACAGGTAATTGAACCATTCCGTAGCAACCTTTTGGTGCATGGGATAACACCCAATCAACTGAGCCACGCTAGTGAGAGCACACTGCTAAGTTTTTATTCTGATAAATTATAATGGTTTATATTGGCAACTAAGGGTTAGGTTTGTACTGGAAATGGACAGCCAATTTTCACAGAAGTTTGAGACTTTATTTTCTCATTTAAAATGGTTCTATAGGATAATTTAAAATATAAAATTAAAATACTTAGAATTCAAACATTAAAAATTGAAAAACTAGTTTTTTCCCCCATTTAGCCGCATTACAGACACTATCTGAATTACGGCTGGAAGGTTTAGAACTGTTTTTGCTCTTTTTGATCATGGTAAATAGCTGTGTCCTGGGAAGATAAATATAAACAAATGACTTAGCCACAGAAGAGATTGAAGAGGAGGTTGGAGGGAAGCAGATTCTCATTTGACCTGAGAAAACATGCAGGAAGTCTGAGGAGCATGCATACATATATGTAGTCATACCCTCTGGTTTTATAATTTGGTGTTTCTTATTTTACCAAGAAGTCTATGGCAGCAATTTTCAAAACTTTACTGTAATACATGGTAAAAATAATTTTTTTAAAGTAAAGTATGCCCCCATAACACAAGTATGTACTTATATTAACAGTTTTCCTGAAAATGCCCCCTTATATTACACCTTGACCATGTGCAGTATAGTCTGGTATTTTTTTATTGATTTCATTTTGAAAGTGCTGGTTTTGACTCACTGAATTGATTTTTATGATTCTCTAATGGGTTGTTTATACACAGTTTGAAGAAAGGCTATTCTGGCTCTTTGGTAAATGTAAGTAGCAATAACATTTCTGTAATTCTAAAATAATTTATATTCCCTCTGTCTTTTTTTCTCATTTGGATTATGATCTTGGCATTTAAAAAAGGAAAAAGTGCCAATATAGTGAATCAGTTGCCACTCACTTTAAAATTTCCAAATATTCTGAAATTACTAGTAGTTCATAAGATAGCTTAGACTCATTTCTTGGAACTCCATATAATTAACTTAGCAAAATTTCCACATAATTACTTGGGGGACACTTTTATTGTTCACTGATTTTATTCAGAACTCTAGAACACTAGGGCATGAGACTTTTAAAATGCTCATGAAGTGTTCTTTACATTCCTGCCTACTTCCCTTCTAGTATCCTGAAGCTTGTCCACCCCTCTCAAGTCACAAATTCTTTCTTGTCAATTCTTAATGTACTGATCAGATATATTCCAAAACCTGAGAGCTCCTTAGCATGGAGCTCTCATTATATAGGACCATTAATGGAACATTTTATGCTTTATGATGTTTAAAATATAAGCTTCTCATAAGAAATCTGAGCATAGGGCATGGATGTTAGGTTCCCCTGACAAGTAGTAAATCACATTTATAAAATGTGTGAAATCAAAGGCCTATTATAGAAGAACAGGAGAAATATTTCCCCAATAAGATGGTATAAAAATACAAAATGGCATCAAAACATTGTTTTTAAAATAAATTTTTCCTAAAGTCACTTTGTAATCAAATCTTGACATCCTACCTGCAAAGATTTAAATATATTTGTTTTATTTATTTTTTAATCCTCACTTGAGGACATTTTTCCATTTCTTGTTCAGACAGAGCAGGAGGGAGAGAGAGGAAGAGAGAGAGAGAGTGAAACATCGACGTGAAAGGGACACATCGAGTGGCTGCCACCCGCACTACACAACCAGGGCCGGGGACAAACTGCAACCGAGGTACGTGCCTTAGCGGGAACCCAACCCGCGTCTCTCTGGACCGCAGGCCCACGCTCTAACTGCTGAGCAAAACTGGCCAGGGCTAAATACATTTGTTGAAGAATCATTACAATGTGTTAATAAAGCTCCACAGTGAAATGATGAAAATATGCTTTCCACATACTGAGACATTTTCTACCCAGGAATTTTCCATAGGAGCTACCACTGCCCGTGAGATCTGAGCATTAAGCGTAAAGTCATCTATCTACTTTGCATAAAGTGGGCTTTTTCCCCCTCCTATTTAATGTTTTGTTTCCTAGGTTTTCAAAAAGTACCAGGTAATACATACTTTTTCTGCATAAATAGCGTGAAGGTAATCACTAAAGAACGAGAAAACTGAATAGAATCATTAAAAACTAAGATGAAAAAACATGTATAGAATACGTTTTTGGAAAATAAGTCATGGTGGAGCTTTCAAATTTTTTTCTTAGAGCAACAAAAGAAATGCTACATATTTCCTGCCATTTTTGGCAGTAACTCTCAGAGATTAGCTTGAAATGTATCCTATGGTAGGTACTTTTTCATGAGAAAAAAAACATTGTGTTAGCTTCTATAGTGACATTAAATGAAATTGTCATGTAAAATACCTGCACTAGTAGATCCGATTCCTGTGGTGAGCACAGATCTTGGTGTAATCTTTGCTGCATATTTGAGGAATTGAGATTTTCCTGTGCCAGGATCCCCAACCAATAAAAGATGAGATTCACCTAGAAAAAAAGTAAATAATGTTAAGTTTTAAATTTCTGTAAAAAAAACCATGAACAAGTATAATTAATCAAAAAGAAAATGGTCCACCTGAACTGTCAATACAATTTATATTGTATATAATGCTTTTGCTATAATATTTAAGGTCATTTGAGGAAAGATTTAAGTGGAATATCTTTAGGAAAGCTGTCATCATAAATAACAAACTTGAAATGATTTCTGAATGTGACATTTAAAATCTAAATTCTTTTGTGCTATTTATAAATGTTCAGGCCTATGTTTAACATTTTTAAATTTGGCTTATAAAGTTTCTGATTGTCTTTTATTACATTTTTATTTAAGCACTTTAAAAAAGTAGGACTTTATAGATGCTTTATAAATAGCATATTATTTATGATTACAACAGTTAAATGAAAATCTTTTCATTTTATGAAAATTTTAGTTTAATGAAATATCTACCTTAAAGTACTCTTATTTTTCAAATATAACACAAATGAACATGAATATCCTGTGGTGTGAATTATCTCAATGAGCAAACGTCTTTAGTAATATTTATGTATTTTGTAAATGTATTAACAGGAAAGTCCTATTTAGGCTCAACATTTAGCAGAGTGCCTTGCAAACAGTAGGTGATCAAAACATACCATACACATAAACCTTATGACACTATTCTATACTGTTCTACATGGCATTAGAGTAACTACTAACCTCATGATCGACAATAGTGTATTTGTAGTCTTCTGGTTTAGTCTTTGGTTATTATGGCTCTCATCTGGCCTATATGAGGACCATAATAAACCTACTTTGTACCAGGTTCAGGTCAGTTAAGAGTATTGGTGACAAAAGAGCTTCCTGCCATTTGGACGTAATTACATACTTAGAGTGATCTTTGCTTGAATGTGTGACCTATAGCAGCACCAAATGGCAGATGGCACATTTGCAACCCATCAGCAGAAGGAGAATCAGCAGGCAGATGACTGAGAGCAGCAGTCAGAGAGAAACACACTGACAGTCGCAGATGGAGAGACGCTGACTTAGTGACATTAAAAAGCACTATTTCTGCCCTGGCCAATTTGGCTTAGTGGTTAGAGTGTCAGCCCAAGGACCAAAGGGGGTTTGATTCCCAGTCAGGGAGGGGGACGGCGTATTTCAGTTGCAGGTTTCATCTCCAGCCCCAGCTGAGGTGTGTGTGGGAGGCAACCAATCAATGTGTCTCTCTCACATCAATGTTTCTCTCCCTCCCTCCTTTCTACTCGATCTAAAAATCAATGGAAAAAATGTCCTCAGGTGAGGATTAACAACAACAAAAACTAAAAAAATAGCACTATTTCTAATCTTTTTCTCTTGAAGAGAGATTGCAGATCCAGTGAAAAAACACAGACAGTAATAAAAATGTAAAGGTTTTCTTTCGTGGCACCCTGAGAGGTTGGAGCAAAACTATATACTCATTGAATAACTTAGGATTTGTTTTAGTCTTTGGAGTTCTAGAATGCAGCTCCTGATATGTAAATGTTGGGCTAAGTATTAGATATCCAGACAACTTAAAAAGACTGTATTTGGAAAATAAAACTCAATAAGCAATTTTTATTCAGGATAGAAAAATTCTAGCTTCTCTCCTTAAATGTGTTAACACTTCTCAAGTTTTAAACAGGTACTAACCTCTGACTCGTGTTCCTGTGGCATCGGTCCTTTGAATCCCACCAGCCAGTACCATGGCCACAGCAAGCTTTACTAGATACATCCCAAAAACTTGAGGGCATAAGCTGGCCAATATTTCATTCCTTCCTAGGAAAGGCAGAAAGATCAGAAGTTACCAACAATTTTTTTTAAATCATAACTGAAAATTTCCTTCCTAGCCTATAACACATTCCACCATCTAAAATGTTAAAGGCCCTGACCAGATAGCTCAGTTGGTTAGAGTGTCATCTTAGTACACCAAAGTTGCGGGTTTGATTTCTGATCAGGGCACATACAAGAATCAACTCATGAATTCATAAATTAAATGGAACAAGAAATAAATGTTTCTCTCCCTTTCTCTCTATAATAAATCAATAAAAAATAATAAAATAAAATGACCAAGAGGACCATTTCCAAATGACTAAAAGGAGTGAATAACTTAGTTCTCTTCTTATTAATGTCATGAGATGAAAAGTCTGTTTTATTCCAGGGTGCTACCTGCTTAAGTTTCTATAAATTTATCATACTTTAGAGGGTACAGAAAAGAATTTCCTTTTCTCCTTCATCAGGCTGACATTATCCCTTAAAAATAATACTGTCTGCACTTTCTGTGCAGTAATTTCAAAAAAATTATTCCATTGTGTAAATAAAAAGAAAGTGCTTGACCTCAGAACAGCAAGTTGGATTGTAGGAGCTAGTAACCTTTAAATACAGATACTTGGAGCTTCTCCAGAGGTGTAAGAGAAATAAAATCAATCCACCCTATGAGACAGTCCAGCATTTGCTCTGAGCAGTTTGGTAAATTTTGTTTTATTTAAATAAAACAAATAAGTTACTAGGATCATTATAAACATCAACTCTGCCAATCCAATCTGGAGACCTTGGATTCTTCTAATCATGTGCTTTAAATAAGAGAATATCAGTGTTTTAGGTTCTGTTTTCAGAAATGCCAAAAACCAAATCTGATAATCTGTCTATCCCATCCATGGATAAAGTAAATATTTCACTTGGTTTACTGGCCTAATCAACCAACAGAGGAACCTATGAGTCTAACAAGCCTTTCCTAAGCCTGTCTTAACTTAGAATTCACTACTGTGATGGTACTATGTCTACATTCATGTTACCAGAAGTTAACATCCACATGCTGGTAACTAATTTGTATGTTTCAGGACTTATACCCTCATCTGAGTTTTTACTCATGCTTCAGTGATAGCTCTTTTGAGATGGAAAATAATCGTACAAGTATCCTTTAGCTGATGATTCCAATTGCAAAAGTTTTCCCACCAAACCATCAAGGGAAGGGAAAGGGCCTTCCTCTACAATTTATGGCCCAATACACAAAGGCCACTTTTTGTAATGAATCCAAATGAATTCAGTGGCATAATCTATGGTGATATGACCTAGGATGGCAGAAATGGTAAAAACAAAGTATTTCAGTACAAAGGGGACCAAAAACAATTAGTAAATCCTGGAAGGAAGTTAATTAACTGCTAGAGGGAATCCATCCCTTTCCTGTGGTAGAAAAGCCCAGGGAAGAAAAGATGAAGTCCTGGGATCTAAGCAGATGAGAAAACCTGGCAGCAGGTGTCATCTGACCAGAATCTAGAGATGACACATAAAAGAAAAAAGGAATAGCCCCCAAAAGCAAGGGCTTTTGGGAGACACCTAAGCCAAAACTAAACCAAAGAGCCAGCTTTGTTAAATAAAGGTGAATTCAGTGACCCTCGTGTCTGATGCCTAGATTCAAATCCCAGTGTTATTAGTAGCTGTCTGATCTTGGGCAAGCTTCTTAACCTCTTGGCCTCCATTTCCTTCTCTGTAAAATGGAGATGATAATGGTATCACATAGAATTAGAGGATTAAAGGAGCTAATAAGTATATAGCACAAAGAACAACACCTGGCACATGTAGGAGCTACTTCATTGTTAACTCGTGCACTGCCCATATTACTTGTGCTTATTTCTGAACTTGATTTCCTTTTTCTATTGTCAACACAAAAGATATAATATGAAGGTAGGTCTGAGGTACCAGAGAAATGCAAAGGGGTAGGACTATTTCGCTAATTGTTGTCTAAAGTTGAAAAACTCGATTCCTTAGATTGTGGCACTAGAAGCTCCCATGGCTATATCATGGAAGAAAATGTGTTAGAGTGGATACTAGCCCTATCCTTTCCTCCCTCCCAAATTTCTGGTTTTAGACCATGTTAATAGTGTGGCTATGGCCCTCAGTTACCCCAATGAAAAGAACTTCTTAAATCTAAGATAACAGTCACCCCAGAGTGGGCTGATGGCCCAACGGACCCCAATCTCTGTTTGGGTTTCCATCCAGCATCTAAGCACCAGGTTCATGGAATCCCTGAGGACACTGTAGATCAGAATAAAACCTCTGGCTCCTCCTAGTCAATATCCACAGTACCAGGTCTTAATGAAGCAAATCAACCTCCAAGAGCTGAGCAGTGAAGTAATCTCTGGCTTTCAGTAGTTAAACCTGTCTGTGACTGGGGAGGGAAGCCTTACATGCTCCATAATTCAGTGACTGAATTCACAAGGTGGTAGCATTAGTCAGTGCCTCTACAAATCCAAACACTGTGATGTTTTAACCTATGTAATTATAGTTTAGTGTCATAATCAAAATTTTTGCTGTGATGACAAAGCTTATTTTTTGCATTTTCCCATCTCTCATCATCTTTTTCTACTTAACTCCTATTTTTAAATCTTCAGCTAAAATAGTGTAAAGATGGTCATATAATTTAAAAGACAGAAAAAAAATGCCATTAATAATTATCAGCTTTATACCCTTAATCACAAACCTGCAAAGGGATTGCTCTTATAGTGTTCCCAAAAATCTTCAAATTCCTTTCGGACCTCCTCATCCATGATGATCCCTGCAGACTGCTCATTATTTACTTGGATAAAATTGGCTTTCAGGACTATCTCCACTTCACAGCGCATATCTCGCTGAAACGGCTTCCACCTTTGCATTACAACCCCATAAATAGTGAGGTCATCACCTAGGAAAAAGCACCAAGTGAATCCAGCAGTAGCACCCTCAATGCTGGGCACAGACTTGCATGACAAAGGACCAGAACTAAAAAACCACCACAGATTCCTGATTTTTTAAAAACAGGTACTTATATCTGTACAACTAAAAGCTAAAGTCAGCATTTTTATTTTTTCTTAATCTGTCATGTTATAATTATAATTACACCAAATTATTACCCATCACTAGGAAAATAGTTTACTGGGTGATTTATTCATCATTATTATATTGGGTGAAAGTCTCATCTTCTCAGAATCTCTAGCCATAGAGTTCTCATTTAAAGAGGTGAGAATTGCAGCCAAAAGGTTATAATCGATTTGCTGTCAGGAAAGGAAAGAATCTTGTGATGACTGATACTAGTTTTAGTTTTTTATATATTAATTTTTACTTAACACATTTGTCAACATTTTATTTACTGCCTTTTGTTTTTTATAATGAACAAAAGAACAAATTAATGAATACCTGTTCTACGTCAAAGCAACCCAGGACAGAACCCTGCTTATTCCTTCTTGGTTGGTTCCTTCCCACCTGAGGAAACTCTCCCATTCCTGATGGGCAGAATAGTAAACTTTTACAGATTTTCCTAAGACGCCTTGAGTAGTTTACAGGCATTTTCTCCAAACACTGACATCTGTGCTTATTATTGTAAACAATTCAATGCATAAATAACAAGTCTTTATGAATGCTTGGCATTCGATATTTTGGCACTAGAGAAAAGGAGGCCCAAAAAAGAAAAGGCATAATCCTAGTCCCCAAAGATTTCAATCTTATTGAACATAGGATGTTGGACATACCCCAAACCCAATCCTGGTGTTTATATTTTGCACAAAAATACTGTCTCTGGACTAATAGGCATGTCTTTATTTCCAAGGCTATGTTAAATAGATATTTGCTGATGCAAAATGCCTTACACTCTCTAAATTTCAATGTGCAATGTGTAATCCACAGAACTTTTGATTTTCTGAAGTGTTCTGCAAAGGCTAAATGCATGGAAATGGTGGTAGCAATTCACAGAATATAAAGCATATTTCTAGCCAAAGGTAACTTCATAATAACAATTAAGTGCTTACACTTGTTTTTAAGAACCTTCATTCACTATTCATAGTAATGATCATTTACTATACTGTCTGCCTCCCATTCTTAGATGAAAATGTATGGGGCAACTTTATATAAGCACTTGGAACAGTCTCTACTCTGGTCATTTTAATGGGTTATATTTAGGATGTTTCTAAATTAGTCAAATGAGGAACTTAACTTTTAGATACAGCACATACTAGTCAAAGTCTGACTTCAATAATCCGTGATAATGTGGAAAATGTAGAGCACTGAAGAATGGCCAAGAGCACTAATTCATTAGATTTGGATTAAAATCTCATCTCAAACATTCACTGGCTGTGTGACCTTGGGCAAATTACTTAACTTTGCTAAGCCTATTTCTTGACCTACAAAATGGGAATAATTGTATTTATATCACAGGACTATATTGAGAATTAAATCAAATAATGTTTGTAAATTACTTAATACAGTATCTTGAAATATAAGTGCTCAATTAATACTAGCTAATATACTAAACCCACCTTATATTTGTAGCAACTAATACCTTTAAAAAGCCCTTAATATATAGGGTATCCCAAAAAATGTATACACACATTTTGAATAATTACAAAGCCAGTGTTTATTCAAATACATCTCATTTTCAAAATGTAATAGAATGGCCAGACAGCCTATATACATGTTTTGGCAGATTCATATAATCATCAGAACAATTATGATTCTGATGATAGTCCAAGTTGATACTCATTTTCGTTTTCTATAGTAACAATTATAAACAGTGTTCTCGTCAGAAAGTTAAATTGCTTACTTTCGTACAGTCCAGTCTCTTCGTGCTGGTCTGTCTTCTGCAGTATATTTACCACTGCAGCCATCCCATCAGACCCATCTTTGAGCTGCTGCCCTGACAGTTTTTAGCACACAGCCCCCAACTTGATCACTCTGCAATGTCAGTTTGGGGTTCCTAACTAGACTAAATTCCTGAAGGGCAAGGATTATGCCCTTTATGTCTTTTGGTTCTCACAGAAGCTTGTAGTTATGGATAAATAGAAAAATAGATGTTGACAGACTGCTTCCATACATTTTTTTTATTAGTGACTGTGAGAAAAAAAATACTTTTTTTTTTTTTTTTCAGTACAGAAAGAATTCAGTTTAAATGAAGTGCATGAAAACACCTTATTCTCTATCAAAGGATATTTTCAAGTTCAGGCCAAGCTCATATAAGCACTGTTTTGCTGATCCAGATATTACAGACTTGGGTTAAAAATCTAGAGTCCTATATGAACATGGTACTTTGACACAGACTTGTCCATTTACAAGGAAATCTACAATCAAAGCAGTTATTTCCTTAGTATACTGTTTAGGTAACTATAAACTATTAATGTGTTTGAAATAAATTTCAAACTATGACTTGGTGATTCTTAGATGAATAGGGAAGTCTTTTGATAAAGAATTATTATTGACGCTAGATACTGAACTCTATTATTTCCAGTATTTGCCTCATCATTTTAATGTCAGCTCAGTAGATATTTTATAAATGAGGCAGTTGGAGAAGTCTAAGGTTAAAAAAAGGAAATGATGGGATTTGGCAAAATGAAGCATTTTCCTTCTGTCCTATAGGGGAGAACTGGGATATGGAATAAGAGATCAGGCATCCCTGTTACTTCCCAACATACACACCTGTACCATCTGTTTTTTATAGAGATGAAGGGTGTTCAAGAGAAAATGGGAAATATTTAAAGCAGGGAATGTTGAGGTGAATTGAAAAGCAACTGCTGATATTCAGCTAATGTTTAGTTATTATTCCATTTTCTGGCTCACCTTCAATTTAACTTAAATGTTAAAAAGAAAGTGAAAATCATTAGGCAGTTATTAAGTTATTTGCAATAAGAGTAAGAAAGAGAAAGGATAGGCTCTCATATCCTCCTCATGAAGGTCTGGACAAGGCCTGGGGACACATGTAGGGAACAGAAGACTCTGACTGGCTTTAAGGGAACAGGTTTCCAATCTCCTTTTCTTGGGCTGGAAAGAGCAGCCTTAGAGAAGCTGATGAAAGATATGCAGCTCTGAGGACAACTTCGTTTGGGATTGAAAGTCTCTCTAAATCCAAGACTTTCAAGCTCTATACCAGAGTCTTCTGTCAGTATAGAAAGATGACAGTGAGGGAGAAGAATGGATGAGGATACCTATGTTGATATATGGGAAATATCAAGTACTTTGGTTAGAAAAAGTTTTTGATTAAAACTTTATGATCATGTTGAAGGCAGTCCGCTTCTGTCTGTGATCTTTACTCTTTGCTGACCAATGCACTGTAAATGTTACAACCCTATCCTCTACCAACAGCTGAAGAAAGCACTTTATTCTCTCAAGCTATCACCGACATATCAACTTAAGAACCATGCCAAATTTTATTAAGAATATTTCTTATGATATTTAAATGAGGTTACTGTAGAAGAGAGAACAGCATTTACCCATTTGGGAGACCCTGCTGACTTACAAAACCTTCTAATATCTTAATTTTTTAAATAAAATCTTTCCCTACCATTTTCTTTGTAAAAAACAACTGTAGTGCTTGCTTCAGCAGCACATATACTAAAATTGGAAAAATATAGAGAAGATTAGCATGGCCCCTGCGCAAGGATGACGCAAATTCATGAAGAGTTCCATATTTTTGTAGTAGACATGGTAGTAGAGTACAGACTGACAATTCCCAGAAGAGGGGGTGGGGGGAGAGAAAAACCACAGAACTTATATGCATGTATGCATGACCAATGGACATGAACAACAAAGCTGGGAACAGGGCAGGGAGGGAGGGGGAGGAGGGAAAAAAAATTTAAGAACACTTCCATTCTATGGTCATGAGCTAAAATCAATCCTCTCCCTTCCACAAATACTTTTTAAGTTTGCTTCTTTCCAGGCTGCCCAATGAGGAGAGTAAGAGGAGACAAGGTGAGTTCAGAGGGCAAAGGAGAGCTTGGGAATTGTCTGTGTGGCCTAAAGATCAACATACAGCTCCAAGGCTCAGTCTTTAATTTGCCTGGAATACTGCAGATCTCCGGATCATGAGGTAGACAGCTGCTTAAACTCACCATCATCCAAGACCCATGCTGCACACCTCTGATTAGTAGGTACTAAGTTAAAGTCTACCTTCCTCCATCCAACAGACTCTTCTGTAATTCCAATTTCATTTCTATATGACCATCTTCCAACAAATAAAAGTTGGTGGTCTTCTCCTTCCTGAGACTTATCCATGCTAACCACCCACAGTTCTTTCAGTAGGATTCAAGTTCCCTCCAAATTCAGACAATTGGCCAGTGAAAACAGTGAGGACCCTCAGAGGACAGAAGACCAAAATCAATGTGACTCATATAGTGGTATCACCAATACAGAAAGAAACAGTCACCTCCTTTCTTCTAGACACCTTTAAGTCTGCAATAGCATTTGACAGTCATATCCTCTAAGGCAGCTTATATAATTGCCCACTAAAACCATTTTAAAAAGTTGCTCCTGTTCAGCTATGGTGCACCAAAAGAGAGTGCTGGACTTGAAGTTAGTAGATCTGCGTTCACGTTGCAGTTCTGTCACTTAACTTTCCAAGTGATCTTAGGCAAGTCAGGTTCTTCATCTATAAAATAAGCAGCTGGACTAAACTCCAGCCCAACTTCTTTTCTGCTATCATATCCCATCTCCATGCCAATCTCTGTTTTCAAGGTAAGCAATTAAGTCTCTACACTCACTCTTGGGAAAATAAAAACTGGCTTTTCCATATTCATATGTTAGGACTTCCTGTATAAGCTAACAAAAGTTAATTCTTACCAGATTTGCAAGTGTCTACTAAGTCATCTTCTAGGATAACCTTCATAGATCGTGGAATACTTCCAAGAGCTAGTCTTTGAACCTAGCAAATAAAATAGATAATGAATATGCTTAACTACATACTAAATATTCTGAAACCTAGCAATTCTTGACATTACCATTTCTATTTCTCTGGTATTGTAATACAATTTAATGATGATGAGGAATTACAGACTTTTCTTGCAAACTTAGTGTACTATCAGTTTAAGAATTCACTATAACTAAAGCAAAATAAAAACACCCTATATTTGGAAAACATCTGCAAATATAATCTACCTTGTAGATGATCAAAATAAACATATGCTCCAACTACTAAACATAGTAACAAAATTACTTATCTAAAATAAAGAGGCATTTCTTTCCTGATTTCTAGTCATAAGACCCTGGGACAAATCACTCAGTTCCTTTGAATATTCCTTATAAACAGAACCCTGGTTTATTTCTATGTGAACAAGTGCCCAGTATAAAGACTGTATCTCCCAGGCTCCCTTGCATCTAGGTATGGTCATATCACTAAGTTCTGGCCAATGAGCTATAAGTAGATATGTTACAGATTTTGAAGGAAACTACTTAAATGGAGATTTGGGTTACATAGCAGGCGCTTTTGCCTATCCTTCCTTGTATATGTTCTCTGACTCGGATATAGATGTGACAGAGTTGTAGCCGCCATTCTGGAGTACAGACAACCATATAAAGAGAAACCATTAGTTAAGAATGATGTAGAAAGATAGAGGGAGTCTGAGTCCCTGACACTGAATAAACCTTTGTGTTTAAGTGGCAAGTAAAATAAATCAGGTTCACTCTCATATATCAGAGTGGTTATGTATAACCCATTTGGCTCAGCAAATAAAAATGAGGCCTAAACCCTAAATCCTGTCTACTCCTATGTTTAACAACCAATTAAACGCATTTAATTTTCTCCTATCCCTTAGTTAAGTACAGCTAGTTTGACTTCTTAAATATTCATATAATTTTAACCTAATTATTAAATCATTCAACCACCCCCTTGCCAATGCTCTACATGAAAAGATGTTTATATCATGTTCTCTAACAACTACATTCTGACATATGTGCAAAAGTTTCACACTTGATCTTCCACAAAGTGACGACACAAGTTTCACTTGTAATTATTAGGTGTTTCCTAGTCCTGGCAATTTGCCCATAGCTGAATAACACTTCTTAAAATTTGTCATTTTTCTCATTTATTTGATCACTTACCTGTTCCTGAATTTTGATTTCCTGATAATCTCTACACCTGGTTGGAGATGAAGACAAGTCTGAGAGGCAAGTGAATTTTGAAGAATCACAGTTCTCCAAGCTGGGACATGAGGAGGGCCGGCGGAAGGTATAATACTGCTCAAAGTCAGCCTTGACTAGAAATACATGCTTGCATTTGTTACACATGTAATCCCGTTCAAACTCCAGGATCTTCACCAGACTTGTTCGAATCACTGTCCCCGTGACAGATAAAAAGTGTCCCACATCCTTGGTTTTAGGGATGTGCTCCCTCACCAGCTCAGGACAAACAGGCAAACCTGATGAAGAAAAACAAAAAAACAAAAACAAAACTCATCAATCTTCACATATGACTCCATAGAATATACATTTCTCATATTTGCTGAGGATGAAAGTATTATTTCAGAGAGACAAAATTTTGTGTTTTTTTTTTTAATTACAAAAAATAATCAGATAAAATCAAAAAAATAGAAAAGAATTATTTCAAATAATTATCAATAGACACACTTTAAGAGTACATATCTAGATGATTAAAAAAAGGATTCATGGGGGAAAAGGGAGAAACATCTGTAACAAAAATAAATTAATAAAAATAATTTTAAAAAAGGATTCATTCTGTCCTGGCTAGTTTGGCTCAGCGGTTAGAGCGCCGGCCTGTGGTCCAGAGAGACCCGGGTTCGGTTTCCGCTAAGGGCATGTACCTTGGTTGCAGTTTGTCCCCGGCCCTGGTTGGGTTGTGCGGGTGGCAGCCACTCGATGTGTCCCTTTCACGTTGATCTCTCTCTCTCTCTCTCTCTCTCTCCCTCCCTCCCTCTTCCTCTCTCTCCCTCCTACTCTATCTGAACAAAAAATGGAAAAATGTCCTCAGGCGAGGATTAAAAAGAAAATAAACAAACACACACACACAGAAGGATTCATTCTCAGAAGAGGGCTATCTCAGTAGGATCTAAATACAGTATATAATTATAACCATATTCAACAAATATACTGTTTCCAGCCACACATAAAATTAACTTATAACTCTTTGAGTAAACCACAAAGCTGAGTGATAGATGGTAGCATAATGACCAAAGAATACCACAGTGCTAGAAGGCTACTGCTTTTTCAGTTAGGTTCAGGGTTCATTAATATGTAAGTCTGACAGAGTTTCTAACCCTTGAATTATCCAGAGGTTTACCCACACAATCACTTTATCTCTTAATAACCTTGTGGTTTTTGCCATTAGTAAAAGGCAACTTAATAGGTGCAAAATGCCAAAGAAAATTTTTATGCGGAAATGCCCTCTTTCTCATGTTCGGCTAATGCATCTTTGGAGTAGAGCAGTGCTAGCTGTGATAGTCAAAGGCTGCCTCCTAATAGGTTTATCTAGCTAGCATTTGTCACAGTGGTTCATGTCCCATGGTCCACTGTATGGGCCTCAGAATTTAGTAGCTCTGAAACCTGTTAAGTATATACATAGAAGACAGTTCTATCAAATTTGCCAAGCTCATGAGAAATAACCGTAATAGGAATGATTATACTTTAAGTTTCTATGGTCAGCACATTTTCTCCCTGTTGATATATCTATTCCAAAAGCAAAACAATAACAATAATCAGAAGCTAGTTTGGAATGCATGGAATTAAAAAATAAAAAGCAACTTAGTTAGATAAACTAAATGCTTAAGGCACCAGGCTACATTAATCTGGTGTTACAGGCAAGTCTAGAGACAGACTTGAATTTTCTGTTGCTTGCTGAGACTCTCCATATACTATATACTATACAAACAAGGTGGGCACTGCCAACATTTGCCACTATGACTTCTTTTTCTATGCTTTCAAGGCTGATTTGCCTACCCTCTAATGAAAATATTCTTTATTTATATTGACTTATAGTGCATCACATTTTGCCAGTAAGAAAGCCATACATTTGCTTAGGACAATTTTTGTATATATCTGCTCTATTCTGTGTTGACTTTACAATTTAACTCTCAGAAAACAAACATTTCTAAATTCCTGTGGAATGCTTCATTAAAATCCCCTGGGGCTGACAAGTGCTATATCAACTACACAATAAAAATATTTTTCAGTATAAATAAAAATTGTTTCTTAGTGTTCTATATTCAATGTGTTAGGGTTTCTCAAAAACCTTCCTAGAGAATAACATGACGATAAAAGCCTTAAATGACTCACCTGATATCCTGGCATGAAGATTCTGCTTCATGGAGACATCCTCAGGCTGAGAAAGAGACTCAAAAATTGTCAAGGCTGATCTTCGCAGTGAACTATCAAAAACAGTTAGTACTTCATTGGGGAATGCGTTGAAATATTCCCCAATTTCCATGTTGGTCTCAAAAAGGGTCATGGCATTAACCACAACTGGGTAATGAGCATCTTCATCTCTTTCCTTCAGGATTAAAAGAATATCGTTCTTATGGTATTCCGAAACATATGACTCAAATACTTGACCAACCAGTGCAATTTGTTCACTATTCATCTTGAATCTAAGTAACTAAAGAAAAAAGAACTGTATTATACCTTAGCTATTAGACTTACACACAAATCAACAACAAAAAAAATTGTGTGGCTGTAAATCATCCTGGCTTTAGGTCACACTATAATCTCAAAATACTACCTGAACTTAAATTTTAATTAGATCTGAATTATCTGTTATTTAGTAAATGTATTATTTTTCAAGTGGGTAAAGAATTATGTTGGTACTGATTATAAAATCCAAAATGGTCCAGTGTCTCTCCCATTTCTTTTCCCAAAACTTCCTCCTCATTAACCCCATATTATGTAACAGGTCCTTGCCTTTACTTTAACCAACTTCCACACACACTTTTGTTATCAAGTATAAAATCTTAAATGTCAGTCTTTTGGTTCAAGTTACTCCTGGTAGAGTTCTTTGCAAGCATCCTATTTCTAGGTTTTATTCAGATAAAAAACATTTCTCTCTCTCTCTTTCTCTCTAGACACACACACACATACACACACACACACATTATTCTGCTACATAAACAGAACATACACTACTATTCAGATTGATAGCCAGTTATGACTTAAATAGTTATCAGATTGGCTTTAGATATTTCCATTTGGAGGCGAATTTATTTCCTATTTTCTCTTCTTGACCCAGGAAAACTATTGGCTTCAGCAAAAACAGCTGTCAAGAGTGGGAAAAAAACTAGATAATTAAACTGAGAACAAGAAAATTGGTCTTTAAATAATAACTACATATTGAGAATAAGTACAGTATATTTTATTATTTCAACTATCCTATTCCTCTGGCAATATATTTTTAAATTTTTATCTACAGATTAAAAGGGCCTACCTACTGCATTCTGTTATCATGTATACACACAGATATGTACCACATGCAAGGCACTGTGCTTGGAAATGAAAGCACAATAAATGGTTATTTATGCCCTCAAGAGAACTAGGGAAAGATCAGTATAACAGCACTCTAACAATGGTAAAAATGCAATATGAATAAAAGCACAAAGGAGCCTGGCCGGTGTGGCTCAGTGGTTGAGCATCAACCCATGTACCAAGTGGTCGCTGGTTCCATTCCCGTTCAGGGCACATGCCCAGATGTGGGCCAAATCCCCAGTGGGGGGCATGCAGGAGGCAGCCAATCGATGTTCTCTCTCATGTCTCTCTCTCTCTCTCCCTCTAAAAATCAATTTAAAAAAATTTTTTTAAAAAGCACAAAGGAGAGAAGGATTAAACTTAAATGGGGTGACAGTCCTAAATAAACTGTCCAAACTGGATCATTTAAGAAACTCGTATTTGGTTTGGAAACAGAGAGCACTGGAGGACAAGTGTAGTTTAATTTGACTTATTTCATTCAACTAACATTGATTGCACTAGACTCTATAAAAAGATGATTAAAGAATTCTGACAACTATAATGCCAGTGTCAGATTAACAGACGAGTATATGTATATCTAAGAGAATAAGTGAAAGTAAACTATGGCCAGTACACTAATAAGTAATTTGTATTGGTTAGGTAATATAAACTCAGCAAAGTGTAAAGCAGAGAAAGCACATGTGAAGGTACTGATTAAACAGTATTTCCATGATGTGGCCTTTGCTTTAAAAAACAAAAACAAAACTGTACTTCCAAGAGTGGCTACAAGAGAATCTCGAAGATTCTATTAAGTTTGGAGCCACAAGTTTAGCAATTTAAAAGACAGCTCCACACAGGACCGGAAGGGGGCAGCCTCAGAACTCATGGTTCAGATTCAGGTCAGATTAAATTCCACCTAATCTTTTTTAACAGAGCATCTTCTTTAACAATAGCATTCGTGGACTGGTGCAGCCACTATGGAAAACAATATGGTGTTACCTCAAAAAATTAAAAATTGAACTTCCATTTGATCCAGTGATCCTGCTTCTGGGAATATACCCTAAGAAACCTGAAACACCAATCAGAAAGAATATATGTACCCCCATGTTCACAGCAGCACTATTTACAATATCTCACTTATATATGGAATATAATGAATATAATAGTCTGAGGAATAGGGTAGACCCAGAAACACGGAAGTAGGGTACAGACTGACAACCCTCAGAAGAGGGGGTGGTGGAGGGTGGGAAGAGATAAACCACAGAATTTATATGCATGTATGCATGACCAATGGACATGGACCACAAAGCCGGGGACGGGGCAGGGGGGATGGGGAGGAGGGTGTCAATGGGGTAAAAAAGGAGAAACATCTGTAACAAAAATAAAATTTAAAAAATAAAATAATAAAAATAGCATTCATTTTCAGTAACTGCAAAATTGATCAACTGTTTCTAAGCAGTTTGCTAACCCTATAAACCTGCCCATCCAGATACAAACTGAAGGCACTTATTCTTTTACAATTTTCAAGTCCCCTTTCCGTTTTCTTAACGAGTATTTCAGGTTAAAATACCATCAAAATCAGGGGGGTGAATAAGTGGCGACAGCTAGCTGGCGCCCTGGGAATCACCGCGGGTCCAGCCGCCTCGCCACACCTGCCGGGAGCCACGCCCCCTCGCCTGGGAGCGCCGCGGCCTAGGGCCCGCCCCTTCCTCGGCCGTCCGGCCCACCCCCGGCCCGCTGCTCCCGAGCCACTCGGCGAGCCCGCTGAGGACTGCTCTCCACACTTCCATCTCTGGACGCAGCCCCTGCCCTACGCCTGGGCAGGTCTCTGACACTTGCCAGGCTCGGCGCCCGGGCAGCTCTGCCACCCGACCGGTCCCGGAGTTGAACAGTTTTTGAACTAACCAAATGTGGGCGATACTTGGGACGAACTGCGGGAGAAAAAGTGACGGTGAAACGAAGCAGCGGCTGTCACTTACTGGCGAATACGCAGTGTCCGAAGTCCCTCGGAGTGTGCGCTCCGGAGGCGGAGGGGCGCGGCTAGCTCCGGCCTGGTGGCGGGGTCGCGCCGCGGGCCCAGGGACGCGAGGAGGCCGGTGGGGGCGGGGCGGGGCGCGCACGCCGGGCCACTCGAGGCGCCGTCGGCCGCGGGGACGCGCAGGCTCCGGCGGGCCCGCCTCGCGCCTGGGCGAAATAGGCGCTACGCGAGCGGCTCAGCCCGGCCCGCGCTCCCGACGGATGCCGGGCCGCGCACCGCTCAACTTCGCAGCTCAGGTGGCTCTTCCGGGTGGGGAAGCGGACGGGCGCGCGCCCCGCCTGGCGCCTCGGGACGCGAGGGGCGGGGCGCGGCGGGTTGGGACCGGAGGAGGGTCCGGGAGGAGCCGAGAGTCGGGGCGGAGCGCTGCGAGTCCCGGGGCGGGGCGGGGCCGGCAGTAGGCCCGGTGGAATGGGAAGAAGTGAGTGTGCGGTGCTTCGGAGGGATCGTCGGGATTGTCTTGGTTGTCTTTTTGGTCTAAGAACTCGAAAAAACCCAAAGCCATGAAGATTTTTCTCTTGTGTGTTCCAGAGATTTTAGAGAGGAGGTTTTATGTTTACGCCTTTGATCCATTTTGAGCTAAGTTTTGTACATACGAAAATACAGATCTTAGGTAACTGTTTTTGCGTATGGATGGATAGTAACATTTCTTGAAAGAACTATCCTTTCCCACCTAAAAGCCTTTGCACTTATGTGAAAAATAAGTTGTCCTAATATGTGTGGGTGTAAGACTTTCCTATTCTGTGGCCGTATCTTTTTGTTTGTCTTTGCAAAAATACCACGTTGTCTTTGATTACTGTAGCCTTATGAGTTGAAATCAGATAGTGTTTGGCATCCAGTTTTGTTATTTTTCAAAGTTGTTTGGGGTTTTGTGTTTCCATATGAATTTTAAAACCAGTGTGTCATTTTCTGTTAAAAGCTGGGATTTCCATTGGGGTTGCATAGCATCTATAGGTTAAGATGGGAAGAATTTACATATTAATAATATTGAGCCATATGACTTTGAACAAATTAAACCTCACCATTTATTTAGGTATTAAGCCTGTAATATCTCTCAACAATATTTGATCTTTTGTGAAATCAATAACTCAGATTTGTCCATAAAATCATATGGAAGGGGAAATCATACTTGTTGATGCTACATAAATGATATTTTCTATTTCAATTTCAGATTGTTCCTTTCCAGTATGTAGAAATACAATTGATTTTTTAAATTAAAAAATTATTTTTTAGAGCAGTTTAACATTCACAGCAAAATTGAGCAGAAAGTATGGCTAGTTCTCATATATCCCGTCCCCACATACCCAAAACCTGCCCACTATCAACATACAATTAACAGAGTGGTGCATTTGTTACAATGGTGCATTTGTTACAGTGGTGCATTTGTTACATTAACGTGATTATCACCCAAAGTTTATGGTTTACAGTAGTTCCACTGTTGGTGTTGTACATTCTGTGGGTTTTGACAGTTGTATAACAACACGTATACACTGTTGTAGTTTACATAATAGTATCATTGCCCTAAAAATCTGTTTTCTGTTCATCCCTCCCTCCCACCTAACCCCTAGCAGCTTTTTAGTGTCTTCATAATTTGCATTTTCTAGGATGTCATGTAGGTGAAGTCATAGGTAGCCTTTCAAATTTGTTTCTTTCACTTAGTAATATACATCTAAGGTTCTTCCATGTCTTTTTATGGCTTGATAGCTCATTTCGTTTTGGTGCTGAATAATATTCCGTTGTCTGGAAGTACCACACTTTATGCACTCACCTACTGAAAGGCATCTTGGCTGCTTCCAAGTATTGCCAGTTATGCAGAAAGCTGCTATATACAACCATGTGCAGGTTTTGGTGCAACATAAGCTTTCCGTTCCCTTGGGTAAATACCAAGGAGTATGACTGCTGGATCATAGGGTATAATTTTATAAGAAATCACCAAATTGTTTTCCAAAATGGGTGTAACATTTGCATTCACACTAGCAATGAATGAGTTTCTTTTGCTCCATATCCTCTCCAGCATTTGGTGATGTCAGTGTTTGGCATTTTGGTCATTCTATTAGCTATATAATGGTGTTCCATTGTCATTTGATTTTGCATTTCTCTGATGACAAGATGTTGAACATCTTTTCATATGTTTATTTTATTTTATTTTTATTCAGACAGAGAGGGAGAGAGGGAGGAAGAGAGAGAGAGAAACATCAATGGGAGAGAGAGACATCGACTGGTTGCCACCCATACAACCCCAACAGGAGCCAGAGACAAACTGCAACCAAGGTACATGCCCTTAGTGAGAACCGAACCCAAGACCCTCTGGTCCCCAGGCTGACGCTCTAACCACTGAGCAAAACTGGGGCTATTTTTTTATTTGTATATCTTCTTTGGTGAGGTGTCATTTCACGTCTTTTGCTTGTTTTCTTATTGTTGAATTTTAAGAGTACTTTGTCAGATGTGTCTTGCAAATATTATCTGTGTTTGATAAGACTGTGTCTTATCTTCTCATTCCTTTTTTTATATTAATCATATTTTCTATTTTTTTAAATTAATTTAGAGAGAGAGGAAGGGAAAGGGAGGGAGAGAGAGAAACATTGATGTGAGAGAGAAACATTTGATTAGTTGCCTCCAAAATGCACCCTGACCAGGGATTGAACCCACAAACTGGGTATGTGCCCTGATCATAAATTGAACTGGCAACCCTTTAGTGCAAGGGACCACACTCAACCAACTGAGAGCCACATTGGCCAGGGCTCTCATTCTCTTGACATTGTCTTTCACAGAGCAGGTTTTTTTTATCAAGTCCATCTTATCAATTGTTTTGTTCATGAATTGTGTGTTTAGTGTTGTACTTTAAAAAGTCATCACCTGCCCTGGCCGGTTTGGCTCAGCGGTTAGAGCGTCGGCCTGCGGTCCTGAGAGACCCGGGTTCGGTTCCCGCTAAGGGCATGTGCCTCGGTTGCAGTTTGTCCCCGGCCCTGGTCGGTTGTGCGGGTGGCAGCCACTCGATGTGTCCCTTTCACATCGATGTTTCTCTCTCTCTCTCTGTTCCTCTCTCCCCCCCGCCCCCACTCTACCTGAACAAAAAATGGAAAAATGTCCTCGGGTGAGGATAAAAAAAAATTTTTTTAAAAAGTCATCACCAAACCCAAGGGCATCTAGGCCTTTCTTTTGTTCTGTTAAGTCTGTGATGCACTTTGAGTTAATTTTTTGTGAAAGGTGTGAAATCTGTGTCTAAATTTTGTGTGTGTGCATGTGGATGTCCAGTTGTTCTAGTACCATTTGTTGAAAAGACTATTTTGTTCCTTTTGTCAAAGATCTGTATTGCCTTTGCTCTTTTGTCAAAGATTTACATGGGTCTTTTAGTGGGCCCTCTGTTCTGTTCCACTAATGTATTTGTGTATTCTTTCATCAATACCATGCTGTCCAATACCAATACTGTAGTTTTATAGTGAGTATAAATGTTGGGTAATGTCAGTCCTCTGACTTTGTTCTTTTCCTTCAATATTGAGTTGGCTATTCTAGGTTTTTTGCCTCTCTATATAAATGTTAGAATCAGTTTGTCAACATCCACAAAATAAATTGTAGGGATTTTGACTGGAATGGAATGAATCTGTAGATAAAGTTATGAAAAACTGACATTTTGACAATATTGAATCTTTCTATTCATGAACATGGAATAGCTATCTTTCCATTTAATTTTTCTTTGATATCTTTCATCTGAGTTTTAGTTTTCTTGGTATAGATTGTGTACATATTTTGTTAAATTAATATCTAACTCTTCCTTTTTTGAGGTGCTATTGTAAATGGTAACATGCTTTTAATTTCAAATTCTACTTGCTCATTGTTGTTATATAAGAAAGCAATGGAGTTTGCATATTAACTTTGTCTCCTGCAATCTTGCTGTAATTTCTTATTAGTGCTAGAAGTTTTTTTCTTTGTAGATTCCTTTAGATTTTCTACATAGACAATCATGGCATCTGTAAGTAAAGATAGTTTTATCTTCCCAATCTGTATGCTTTTTATTTCCTTTTCTTGTTCTTTGTGGGTTTTTTGGGGTTTTTTTTTTTTTTTTGCTTGTTTGTTTTTACATTTAGCTATAACTTCCATTATGCTGGTGAAAAACAGTGATGAGAGGGGACATACTTGCCTTGTTCCTGATCTTAGTGGGAAACTATAATTGTAAGGTTGGACAGTAACACTGTAACTCAATGTCATTGTTTACTATTGTGAATATTTTGCAGTTTGCATATACCCCCTACAGAATACAGTGATACCTCGGTTCTCGAACGCCTCGGTTTTCGACCAAATCGGTATTCGACCAGGAGATTCGAGAAACTTTTGTCTCGGAATCCGAACAAATATTTGGAACTCGAACTTCCGAGATGAGCCGAGTTGAGCCGAATGGCGTTCATTCGGCCCAGCGCGCCTTGCTTGCGTCCTCAGTGTGAGTGCAGAGAGAGAGTCACGCTTTGTGGAGTCACGCTTTCCTATTGGGTTTCATTGCTTCGGTTCTTGAACAATTCGGTTCTCGACCGTCCTCCTGGAACGAATTATGTTCGAGAACCGAGGTATCACTGTATATATATTCAGATTCTATTATATATAATAAATATAACATCAAAATATTGTTGTTTTTATATATTGTTCAGAAATATATTATTAAACCACCTATAGATTAGATATTTCTAAATTTAACTAAATTAACATTGAAAACAAGCTTAGATTATCACTGTCATTAGCCATGAACTATGCTTGAAGGCATTGAAGTATAAATGTCATCACCATAGTGATGTTTTTATATCTATATATATATAATGTATAGATCAGTGCAATAATATGTGCCTCTATATTAGTTACTTCTTTGGGGGTAGTGTGCTCACAAATGTTTTACTGTGAGCATGTGATTAAAATAACATTGCTCTAGGGACTAGGGTAGAAATTTATGAAAATGTTAGACTCTCCTTTTCTACCATCTTTGTAGGCAACTATATGTGAATTAAACTGTCGT